AAATAGGAAATCACATATATAAATAAGAAGAAATTGTTTAAAAGAAGTCAAAAATGAAACATGAGTGGATATAATTTGGTGTTATGGAAATGGTTTGGAGATATTGTTATCTTACCAATAATGGAAGTTTTTATAATAAAAAATGGAATTATTGAAAGAGTTGACTTTTTGATTAATAACCAAAGTTTGACTGTGGCCAAGTCAACCCATCTCACTACTTCATGCACGCCTGCACTGCACTGCACTGCACATTATTTTAAATCACAAACACATTGTGTTATATATTTATTTTAATTTTTAACAAAAGAAATACAATAGAAAATAGAAAAGCCACCCAGATTATATATGTATAAGACGTAACTAACGATATTTTATTTTTAAATTAGTATTGAATCTTCATTAATTTCTAAGATAAGATATACATTCAATGATTTATTATGTTTATTTTTTGTATGTATATACAACATGTCATGTTATGTCAGCAGCCACTTCATTGGATGTGGTGATAGCGCTAACAAATACCTAATAATTAATTGAGTTATTTGGTCAATTATATACGAATTCCGATGTATGGATGGTTTTAGAAACATATTTTTTTAAGAGATTTGGTACTATATATATATATATATATATATATATATATTAACCTTCATATATATATACATATATCATGGTTGGTTTGTATAGCATATGATATGATGCTAAGAATGGTTTGCATGTGTCCGCTTTCTATTCAAGTCATAGATTTGCGTAACATTAATTAATTTATGTTGTGTTGATGAAACAAGAAGATAAAAATCGATTCTTATGCATATTAATTATGATGTTAAATTGATGCCTAAAAAGAACAACATGCTAGGATGAGATTTGGGGGCAAACAAAATAACATGGGCATTTGACATGGTTTTTGCAAAGGATTTGGCATGAAATAAAGTGAATGAGATCTCGATTCTAAACCGGTAATTAAGGCATGCAGGGTTCATCTTTGTCTCATATGAACCTATCAAGTAAAGCGATCCAAGTATGTACTAGTAATATGTATCACTACCAAGTACAATGGTACCCACACGATAAATGTATTGTCTCTATGCATATTTGAGGAGGGGGGGGGGGGGGGGGGGTCACTACTGGCGACTCGATACGTACATGACACCACACACATAACCAAAAACTTTTCATACATAGTATTTATTTAAAACGAACCAAAACATATGTAACATAACTTAAGGGTTTTAAGACATGTAAACATGAAGCATACATATATACAATACACGTACACCTTATGAAATTGTTGAAAATCATGTATTAATTAAAGACTCCCATTCCCATTCCCATTCCCATTCCCATATGGCAATAAATGTAGGCTTAATTGTCTGTCTTTGCTTGCACACTCTACACGTACAAAAGTCATCATGATACTAATAAGCTCATTGAACACAAACTATCTGACATTACATTACCATACCTTACCATAAGCTAATTAAAAAACTTGTATGCTACACATTGCATGAACATCCTTAGTGATTTGCAAGTTGTGAAGTCACTTACGACTTGTCTGGCTGGCCTTCTTCATCCTCATAACTCCATGCATGCAAGTTTTTCTTTCTCTATTCTTAACATTAGGGGTGTTCTTCCTTGAAACAATATAATGGCCTCTTATTTCTACACCAAACAATTACAAAATACCAAATGCCACTAAACATACATAATGATGAACAAATTTACTCGTGAACTTTCGTTGCTCATTTTCTCTTGCGTTTCTTACTTTATGTTGTAGGGTTTTTTTGTAGACCTTAATATTAGGCAATTAAGTGACCCTTAATTAGGTCTTAAATCTCCCATTGTATGCATGGTCAAATTACAAGAAGCAGATTTGATTTCAGATCTAGTAATACAAGAGAGATTCAGAAGGAGATATGGATGCAATGATACTCTCATACTTAGGTTAGGTGGATAATTAATTAAGTTTTTCCATAACCCTTCCAATTTTGACTCAAGCCTTTAGGATGATTTGTTTATTTATGTTTGATGCATGCATGGGAAATTAAGGCTCACAAAACCCTTTACTCACATGAACATGGATATTCCACACAAACATTAACTTAAGAAAAAAAAAATGAAACCTTAACAAACTGTAGCATATTTTAACATATATATATATGTCACAGATGCAGAAAACTAAAAGAACAGGACACCACTTGTTCATCACAAAAAGAGACATGCAATCATTGTGGTTGGATTGATGGTTGCAAGGTGGTTCTCACTTCTTACACGTCTCACCTAAACCCAACTCTATTCCCTCAATAAAGGAAAAGGAAAACAAACCCAACTCTATTCCCCCAATAAAAGAAAAGGAAAACGAAAACAAACGAACCTATATTGACCGTTGGATCTAAAAAAAAATAGATGATCATGGATTTAGTTTTGACAAATCACAACTCTTGGAGTTTTGAAAGAAATAACTAGATTTAGTAAATTAGTGAGAGTTTTAGTTTTAGCTAAAAATCTAATCATTGGTTAATACACCACTTATGTTCAGTTGATAAATTAGTAATATAATGAAATGATATTTATATAATATGTAAGTGGCATAAATGAAAATAAAAAATAAGCCGTAAGAATTAATTAATTATGAGAATATAATATAAAAAAAAAGTTGAATCTTAATATAGAGATTAAAATGAAAAGGGTAAAATGTTTGTGGGGGTAAGACGCGGCGACATGAGAGAGTGAGAGTGGAGAGTGGAGAAGGGAGAAGGGAGAAGGAAAAGGGCGTGGACTCTCCACGTTCCCAAGGGGTTGAATACGTCACCAATTTTCATTTCAATTCATTTCATTTATATGCCTTCTTCTAACTCAAATCTAACCACCATTACATTCATTCATTCTTTCTTTATTTCACTAAAAATACCCAACCATTCAAATACTACTATAATACTTATGCATGCCATCGCCATCTAATCCATTCGAATCTTAACAATGCCTTTTTAATCTGGGTCTAAAATTGCAACTCTGTGACCCTTAACTGCAAACAAAAGAGACAATCAATCAAGTCAGCATATTCATTCATGTCACGTTTGGAATCTGGAAACCCTTGGGATGATCTAATGGCCACTTATCAAACAATTACATTTATATATATATCTACAAGTGATGACGTTACCATCACTTATATTTGTCACTTTCTCTTCTAAATCTCCAGATTAATGGATCATGACACATACTAAATTATTAAAATAAACACTCCAATCCCTAATCACTTCTCCTATTCTTATCCTTGTGATTTCTCACATACACCATCCTCTTCCAATTCTAACATTCTTCTGCTCTACACAATTAGAATATAACAACATATAACTTTACAAATTTTGGCCATCAACTATCAAATCAAATTCAGTCTTTTTTTTAAATCTACTCCTTCTATCCCAAAAAAACCATACCATATATGAAAAATGTTGATATTCATACTTCAGGCTGTTTTTCTGAAAAATATTTATAAAAATGCAAGATTCTTTTATCAAACATAAACAACAAAAATCTTTTTTCTTCTAATCACTGCTGTATGTATTATATGTAATCATAAACAGATATCCATAACGATTTTTCACCATACTAGAAATCACATTCAAAATATATATACAAAAATCCACATTTATCACCACAATACATATAATCCAAGACTCCAAACAGGTTATCATTTTATCCTTGTATACAACATATAGAAAAGATGAGCCAAAGAAACGATACCCAAAATTCATCGATTAATCTAAAGAAACAAAAGCGTACAAGTTTATATGAGTATCTGATACCATGTCGTCTCAAACAATCCTTGTTAGAAATATATATATCTTTCAAAAACCAAAAAAAAAAAAAAAAAAAAGAATGTGGTCGATTAAGGTATCATATGCTTCATAGACTTTCTTTATCATCTCAGAGCAACATTAGGTATCTTTCTGTGTAAATGCAAGAAAAAATAACAAGACTTGTCTTCTCACTTCTCAATCTATGCAAAAACCAACCCTTTTGTGTATCAGGATCTACCTTATTACTTGTTTCACCACATGTAAACAAGAGTTGACCCAAAAAACATAAGGTTAAAGTGTGTTAAGGAATCTCATTAGTCAAAAGTCTTGAACCAACACAGAAAGATTAGATTCTAACCTTCTACATACCACACAAGTTTTAGATTAAATATCCATCCTTCCTTTCTATCAACAGAACTATCATCCTACAATTTGAAGACACGATCTCAAGGTTCTTGGTAAATAAAAAAAACTTGTGGCATTTCAACTTGGTCAACTTTCGTCACATTATTTAATTATACACGCATATCGTGCGAACAGTTCCCACCTAAATTCCTACCTCTATTTTCTAACAATTATATGTTTCTAGATTCTCATTTTCTCTATAAAAATGCCTACAAGGTGGAAACTTGCGGATATGCAAATGTGTGCAATTACACAAACTGTTTGTTAGATAAGTTATCTACCAATCATATAGCTGCATCTGATCACCCTTCATCTTCTTGAATCCTGTTCTGAAAGCTCAGACAACATTGCTAGCCAGTCTTCCCTGTGCTTCCTATTTCGTTTGATATTTCTTTAGATTTTTGTGCTAGATTTTATATTTAATCTTTGGGGTTTTGAGAATTTTCCTGAGTTCTCAAAGTGGGTTATTTTTGTTCCTTAGATATACCGAACCTCAGAAATATTGTGCACTTTGTTCCTTCTATCCGAAGCACACTTGTAAATTTCTAGGCATTTGTTGAAAGAAGGATGTTCGTGCAGCACAGACTGATTAGGTATCTGCAGACAGGCGAAACAGATCCTTCCTGGAAGTCCCTCTTCTTGTTTTACCTATACATGAACCTTCTCTGTTCTGGCTCCTGATTCATTTTCTCCCTCCTTTTCTGCACATCTACTTTTCTTAACTTTATTATCTTAAAAATTTAAACTTGAAGAAGAAAGGGTTCTTTTATGGAAGACCATCTCGCCTCCTTTATGCCTCAAACAACCACCATGTTTGGATCCATGAAGGAAAATGCTCTAGATTTCAGCAGAATGGATCAAATATCATATGATTTGTCATTTTCAAACCCTTGGGATTCATCATCATCATACCTTAATTCCTCAGAAACATACCTGAGGCGTTTGAACCCTAATCCTTCTCATAGGTATTTTAAAGATGAAATAGATGTGAAACCTCTTGGAACTTCTCTTGATTATCCTTTGATAAACACATTCTTTGATAATCAAACACCAGTGAAGCGGCTGATTCAGGCAATTGAATATCTAAAAGAGTCCACAAGAGACATAGACATTCTTATACAACTATGGCTGCCTGTACCTAGAGGAGGTGAATGTGTCCTAACCACAKAAGACCAACCATTCATCCTCAACTCAGAGAGCAATRGCCTACTGGATTATAGACAGATTTCCAGGAGCCAACACTTTACTACTGATGAAGATTCAGAGGCATTCTTGGGCTTACCTAGCCTTGTTTTCTTGAAGAAGTACCCCATGTGCACTCCTGCTTTTCAATTCCTTGGGAAAGAGGAGGACCCCCRTATAGATATTGCTCAGCAGCTGMACCTTGGTGGTTCTCTTCATCTTCCAGTTTTTGAACTAGGGAGCGGAACTTGCTTGGGTGTCATTGAGATCGTGACCACATCTCAGAATGTCAGCTATCATGATCCACTCAATAACATCYGTAARGCTCTTGAGGTCTCTTCTTAATCAACTTTTGTATATGTTTCTAATCACATTTTCTGGCTTTCTATCTTAAGTTCTTAGCTCAATCATTTCTAAGACCTTATTTTTACAGGCTTTTGATCTAAGGAGTTCYGAGTTCTTAATTCATCCAAAACTAGAGGTGGGTATCATACCTTAAATACTTATCAATCTGTCAGTTGCAATTTAAAACTCATTTCTGATAAAAACAAGTACGATTCTGTAAATCAGGATTGCAATGGATCCTACCAAGTTGTTTTGGCAGAGATCAGAGAAGTATTGAAATCTGTATGTGAGACACATTGTTTTCCCTTGGCTCAAACATGGAGCCTGTGTACTCAGCAAGGTAGAGGTGGGTGCCAGCAGCAATCTGCTACTTGCATCTCTGTCATAAGTTCTGCCTCCTATGTGTACAATCCCCATGTTTTGGGCTTTCATGAGGCATGCGCTGAACGGCACCTGCTTCGAGGCGAAGGTATTGCTGGTAAAGCACTGGGAACAAACAAACCATGCTTTGCTACGGACATCAAGGCTTTTTGTAGGACGGAATATCCTCTAGCTGATCATGCTAGGATGTTTGGACTAGGTGGTGCAGTAGCAATACGCCTCCGTAGCACCTACATGGGACCGGTTGACTTCATTCTGGAGTTCTTCCTTCCCCATGATTGCAGAAACGAGGAAGAACAAAAGCACATTTTAAGTTCAATATCTTCTGTGATACAACATGTTTCTAGGAGTTTACGTGTGATAAATGATGAGGAATTAGCAGGAGAAGATTCATCGTCAGTAAAAGAAACAGCTACTCAAGATGCATCTTCTTGGATTTCCCACATGCTGGATGCCCAACAGAGGGGTGAAAGTTTCATTGTTTCCATGGGGTCTCACAAGGAGGAACCAGAAGAGTTCAAAGTGATAAATCAGTGGGATTATCACGAAAAGAGCATCTATCGTCGGTCCACATTGCCTGAATGTGCGAAACAACGTGAGCCAAATTTGGGACCCAAAGGGAGAAGGCGGTCATCAGGCACCAGAAGATCGGAAGAAAAGAGGCGGGTAAAGGCAGAGAGGAACATAAGTTTCCCAGTTCTCCAGCAATACTTTCCTGGGAGCCTCAAAGATGCTGCCAAGAGCATTGGGGGTTAGGCACCATCTCTTTTATATGAAATAATCCAAACTTCCCTTGTAAACTCTAATAACGTAATTATAGTTTATTGATTTTGGTCGATGGTTTCAGTTTGCCCTACAACTTTGAAGAGGATATGCAGGGAACATGGAATCACGAGATGGCCTTCTCGAAAGATAAAGAAAGTAGGGCACTCTCTGAAGAAACTCCAACTCATCATCGATTCAGTCCAAGGAGCCGAGGGTACTATTCAACTTGAATCATTCTATACGAACTTCCCAGAACTAAGCTCTCCAGTTTCACCTAGTCCTAAGCCAACTAATGACTGTGTCAACCTTTTCAAATCTCAAAAGACATCATCCTGTTCCTCATCCTGTGCCAGCCACAATTCTGGTTCAAGCCCTTGTTGTTCAAAAGAAAACGCCTTATATGCAGAAAAACCTAGTGGCTTGGTCAAAAGACAAGCTCAAGGGAAGTCACTAGTAAGGACTCAAAGAGATACACATGTAGACTATCATCATTCTAATGAGGTTTTAGTGCCTCTACTGAAGAGAAGCAATCCCATATCACGAGATGAAGGTGGTTTCCGAGTAAAAGCTATTTACGGTGAAGAGAAAATCCGATTGAGTATGTCCCAACATTGGGATTTGGGAGATTTGCAGAGAGAGATAATGAGGAGCTTTAGCATAGACGATATGGATAATATCACTCTTAAGTACTTGGATGATGACTCTGAGTGGGTATTGTTGACTTGTGATGCAGATCTTGAGGAATGCATGGACCTAAATACTTCATCTAAGAGATGCACAATTAAACTCTTCCTTCACCAATCTTTTCATCCGGAATCTGGAAGTTCTTTTACTGGCGATGGTCCATCCTAGCAACAAGATCTTTTATAGGTAGTTGTGGCAGTGGAGTGATATATATATATATATATATAGAGAGAGAGAGAGAGAGAGAGAGTTGGGTCCATACGAGAATGGTACCTATTTAAGAAAATAAGAAAATGGCCGAATCACATGTCATTTTACACTAACATCACGTACAAAATAACATGTGATTCAGGCGACCTTGCCACTCGGCCATAGGGTCGCCCGCACACTTTTTGGGCCTTTAATGTAAAATCACATGTGATTTTGTATGTAATTTGGCCATTTTCTTATTTTCTTAAATAGATATCATTCTCCTATGAACCTACCTCTATATACATAGATGAACGTGTACTTCTATATATAAATCCACCCATAAGGACACAGGCATTATTAAGTTTGTGTTCATCCATGTTTTTCCATGGATATAATGGCGTTGATTGAAGACTTGAGTTTGTGGAGAGTTATTTTACTATATAACAAATAATTAGCATTCATGCTTTTGTAACTAGGAGTTTGAGTCATTGTATTGATTGTACCATTCATATCTGGAAATGCTTGAACCAGATCTTGTAGGCATAAGAACCATCGGAGAAGTTTGCTGCAGCTCCATATGCTTCTCTGCTTCTATGTTTTTAATGCTCCCTGACTACATCAAAACCTGGATATGAAACATGCTTTGATTAATGCCATAATGCCTGCTTTTATTACATCTACAAGATTGAAAGCTAAAGTCAATACTTAGAATCAGTAAAAAAGCATGATGCAAGGATATCAGAGTTCGTTGTCTTCTACCTCTTCGTTCTGCAACATGCTCTAGTAATTCTTAGGATCAGACATAAGTACCAGAGTAAAATGGTAACTATAAGTTCTGACATTGAGAAAATGCTGAATGTCTCAACTAGGTAGTATAACCAATTTTTAATACTAAAATCAGTAGCTCACGTTTGCAATTGTATCAAGCACTCCCCCCCTATAGCAAACGGTCAAGGACAAAGGCTTTATGAATACATAAGCGTTCGTTTGGACAGAAGAAAAACCAGCAACTTGACCTCCTGCCTTTAGTAACTTCTGTGCATCGACTTAATGCCCAATTCACCAGTAACAGTTTGCTATCTAAAATACTTGGTACATCAGGTGCAAGATTTAATGCAAAGGATGTATAAAATAGAAGACAGAAGCTCCGACTATAAGAACCAGTTATTTAGTTAGGCCCAAGAATTTAAATTCATGCTATTGGAGTATTTCAAACAGCCACAAAGCTAGGACCCTAATGGTACTGGAATCATTAGCAAATGGCAGCTCGTTGTACCAATTTAATGCAGGCGCAATCACATTTTTTATGGTGAATCTGACTCGGGGATAGTTCATAATTGAGGGCCAGTCAGAGTTTTGAAAGCATGACACTAGAATGTGTCAATTAAGAACGTGACAAAAGAATTATTTTCTAACTCTCGTTAGTAGGATGCGGCAAGTAGAAGATGTGAAGAATGCGTACCTGTAGCTTACAAGCAAATTCTCTCGGAAGCTTTGAGTTTTATGGGCATCTCAAAAGTTAATTCAAGGACATATTTGAAGAAATTCTGACTGCATATTAAAATGATTTGTCGGTTCCAAACGACTAGAGTGGCTGAACCAAGGTTTGGCACTTGGATATAGGGAAATTAGAAAAGAAAATTTTGCACACTTCATGAAGCTTGTAAATGATTTTTGCAATGGTGAAATTGATATTGTTTTACATCTATTTTAACCAAGATGTGTTTTGAAGAACAAAATTTGAACCACTTAATTAATAATCACAACTGTCATGAACACCAAAAATATTAGGCTTCACTTATCATGCCATGCTAAACCAACCAGAAAAAACTCCACCATGGAAGCATGTAATTTACACTAAACATGGAATTCCCCGTAGTTTACTTCTTTTTCTTTTGTTCTTGTTTCTTTCCTGTTATGAAACATTGGTAAGCCCAAAGATGATAATGGCTCATTTGGAGTTTATAACCAATTGTCTGTATAGGTCCTCTCTGCAACATCAATTAGAGTGATAGTCTAAACAGAAAGACAATCAAGGTACAAAAACATCATTAGCCAGCTGTTACTTAATTGATGGGATCATGTGATACTGTGATTATATTGTACTCCTTCCTTCCAATGAAAACTGTAATAACTGACTTTACATGTACTACCATAAAATGTTCAAATATTAAGTTAAATGTGTAAAATACCCTTCAATGATGAAAAAGGGGAAATGTTGTTGACATAACCAACACAATCTATAATTTGTAATCTTGACAATGGTCAACTAGTTAACTTCAACTTGAAATCTTTCGAAGGAAAACTTGCAACTGGTATGGGGAATCCTAAAGTGGAAGAAGTTGGAATTTTCATAGGCGGGGTGGGAGAGATACAAAATTTGGATTCACCATAGTGTGCACCTCAAGGGATTAAGAAAAAGGAGAACTGGTAGATTCGGCATGAATATTGTGTGGTAGAGAACAAATGAAACTTGATCATTCATGTATCGGAGTTTCTTATTGATAGGTAGAAAATTACATTACATCATAGATAATGATTACAATGGTTTCTTGTAAACATTTGTTGATCATACAGAAAATTACCTTTATACTTATTGTAGATGAACAATTAAGCACTCTAAGCTGTAGAATATACACAAATATCTTTCCAATGTCACTCTGCTACATTTTCGACGCCAGAGTGCTTTTGTAGCAGTTTCCTCCCAAAAGAAGTTACTGTCTGTAAAATATCATTTGAAGGCTTTAGTTAATTAGTTGAGATAATAATAATAATAAAAACACATGCCTATAAGAGAAAAAAATTGAATTGAGAAAAGATAACATTACCAAATTTTAGTTACCAAGACTAACTCAATACTTTAGAGTTTAGCCTTGGCTTCAAGGGATAACACCAATCAGGCAACCACAGGAGAAGATAGATAGCCAATCTCTGGAAAGTTTCAAACTTTCAATCAGTACTCCTTCAGTTATCAAGGAAGTCATACTTGGGGGACTGCAGATTTGATATGTTTGCATGACCCCATCCTTTCTGTATCTTATTCAAAATTTTCAGCGTCACACCACTGCCATCATCCCTGTCAACAATCAGATAAAGATAGTGTGTCATGTTCAATATACAGAAAGAGATTGTTAATGAACATTAAGAAGTAGTAACCATCAACTACAAAAAACTAGAGGGAGGTTTAGATGAACCATCAGAAGTTAATCATCCACTATAAAGAACTACCATATAAATACGAACAAGAATCATCCTTGCTAAACTGATAATTTGCTGGAATGGAGAAAATGTTAAAGAAGAAACTCCACGACAACCATACCTGTGCAGTATGCTCTGCCAACTGTTTTCATTGTTATTTGAAACTTTTTTGCGGTTAAACACCCTAACATTTCGGCTAACTTGATTTGTAACCTTAAGCTCTGAAGCCATCTCCAGCATCCGCTCAGCAAATTCATCAGCCTCATGTTTATTTCCGGTTGTGCGCAAACCATCAATTACAGGCATAAATGAGGCGGGTTCAAATGCGTATCCTTTTTGAATCATTTTTTTCAGAACATCACTGGCACATTCTAACATTTCAACCTTGCAGAGTCTGCCAATGAAATCTTCATATTGGAAGTTCCCTAGATCAAAACATCTATCCAATGCAGACAAGAAAATGTCCTTTGCTTCCAAGAGCTCCTCTCCAGCAACTAATTCATTGAACATGAAGTTGTATAGCACTTCCTTATGACCAAATATACTTAATGAAATATCAAATACCTCCTGTGCTGGTCTGAACTCTCCTATTTGGCATAGAGGTCTGATCAATAACTTGAAGGATGAAATGTTAGGAGACACACCTTTAGTCAACATTTCATCCAATAGTTTAGTGGCATCATCAGTTTGCCCTGATTCACATAGACATCTTATCATATTATTGTAAGTACGAACATTGGGAGAGATACCTCTTTCTCTCATTTCATCCATCAAGCCATACATTTCAAAGAATTGACCTTTCATTCCTAACCCAAGGATTAAAGAGTTGTATGTTTGCAAGCTCTTGTTGTACCCTTTTTTCTCCATGTCCTTGAGAACCCGAAAAGCCGACGATACCTTTCCCATTTTACATAAATTACATACAAAAATATCATAAATGATTGAATCTGGGTATACATTTCTCCCTATCATTTCTATGAACTTCTTTTTGGCTTCATCAAACTTCCCATCCTTGCATAATGCATTAATTATGGTGGAATAACTAATTAGGTCAGGCGTGCAACCATTCCTATTGTTATCGTCATTGGCAAGGCCAACATAGGAATTATCCAGGTCACTGGGAGCAGCATTCTCTTGATTCCGCATTTCATGCATGCTTTCAACTGCTTTGTCCACCTTGCCACTTTTACATAGCCCATCAAGAACAATATTATAGGTCACCGTATCCAAGGCATAACCCCTTTCTTCCATCTTATTCAGTAATTCCTCCGCCTCCAATACTCTACCCTCTTTCCATAGGCTCTCTAGCAAACTATTGCAAGTGTAATTATTAGGAAAACAGCCATTTGCAATCATTTTACGTAGAAGTTTATTGGCTTCATTGATCATCCCTTTTTTGCAGTAGCCATGAAGTAGGATGCTATATGAGACTACATCAGGAGCCACTCCATCATTTTTCATTGAACTCATGACCATTTTCACATCACGCAGCATACCATTCTTGCATAAACCATCCATCATGATATTGTATGTGACAATAGTTGGCCATATGTGCTTTTCTGCCATCTCATTGAGAACTAATTGTGCCTCCAAAAGCTTTGCATTTCTCACCAAACCCGACAACCATATGTTATAACTTTCTACTTCCAAGGAAACACCACTTTCCTTCATAGATTCAACCAGTGTCTTTGCTTCCTCGATCATTCCTCCCTTGCAAAATCCTTCAAGCATCAAATTGTAAGTTATCATGTCAGGCTGAGGCAAGCCTAACTCCTTATCTACTTGCATATCTCTGAAAATCTGGGAAGCCTCCAAAATTTTTCCTGCACTACATAGAGCTGAAATCCTGGAATTGAAAGTAACTACATTGGGAACGAGACCATCCTCCCTTATCCTCTCGACTAGCTTCTCTGCTTCATCAGTTTTACCTTCCTTGCAAAAAGTTGAAACCAACGTATTGTAAATAACAATATTAGGAACAACCTCCATACTCCTCATTACCTCTAAAAGCTCCAAACCTTGGCTAGCATGCCCAGCCCTGCAATACCCACGAACCAAAATTCCGAAAGTGAACTCATTAGGTAGACATCCTCTCTCATGCATTTTATCAAACACCTTCCGTGCATCTTCTAACCAACCCGAATCACACAACCCACCAATCAAGAGGTTAAAAGTGTAAGTTTCAGGGGAAACCCTAGAAATAATCATATCTTCATACAAAAAACGAACACAATGTGGGAGATTTTGTCGAAGCGAGGACCGAATAAGTAGGTTGTACAAGGAAACTGGGGGAGGTCTATTGGGGTGGTGAGCTCGAAGGGTTTGCAACTGAGAAATAGCGAGAGTGACATGACCCAATTTGGCTAGAAGTCGCACGAGCAAGATCATAGAGTGGTGGCAAGTGTGGGTTGGGTGTGTGAGGAGGAGTTGCGGAAGGGCATTGATTTGGGTGAACATTTTGGCTCCGACAAGGATTTGGATGACAACAGGCAGCGATGGGATGAATGCATGGGGTGGGAAGTTGGGATTGGAAGCGATGCGTTTGAAGATCTGCCAAGCAAATCTCGGATTGTTGATGTTGTTGATAAGGGCCTTGCTTAATTCTCGTGCTAGCTTCATGCTTAGTTAAAATGGCGGAAGATGGAATGGATGGAAGCTCAGGGCTTCTGAAAAGAGTTGAACCAGTTGCTACCAACTCTCGGTCCTTTCATGATTCCACTGCTTATATGACTAAAAAAAAGAACTCCTTAATGCTTCCATCATTGTTACTCCCAAAACAAGAGTCTGCCCTACAAAAAAGACGAATCCATCTACTGGTTTGTTCAGTATTGCAAAAACAGAACACCAACGCAGTACACATGAAGATGGTATATGAAAACACATAGTCTATTGAGTTCACACATAAAGTGGACGGCAAATTGCATTTAAAAAGCAAAGTATTTTCATCATATTCATATTTTAGGTAATATATTTTTAAAACCTATATTTTGGTACTTTAATTGTAAAATATCAATTTTTTAAATATTTGATTTATCTGATGACTTATAAATGTTGACTAGGATCAGGTTTTTATTGATGTGGCATCGTTTATTTATTTTATCAATGCCAACTAAGAAAAAAAATCCATGTAATTTTTAATTTTTTTTAGATATCTGTATTTTATTCAATTAAGGAAAATTTCACATCATTTTTTTTTAATTTGTATTTTTTTCAGTTAAAAAATCCATGTCATTCTTTTAATTTTATTCTTTTGTGAAATACGTATTTTTCAATTAAGAAAAATTACATCTTTAGCTCTATTATTTGTTTAAATTTTAACAACTAAACAAGATCATATAATAAAAACATTTATAATCATTATTAAACATTTGATAAGTTAATTAACAAAAATATTCCAGATGGTTAAATATTTTACAAAAATGACGTATCAATTATAATAAAAGGGCAATATCATAATACTGCTATCAATTATAAACCAAAATGTTACTATACTTCGTTAATGTCCAACCAATATTACACCCGGCTTCACTTAGTCCTTTTAGACGCAGTTTCTTCCCCTTCTTTTGCTTCAACTTCAAATAAGAAAAAAGTCACGTTAATTACCTAATAACTTTTGAACAACAAATCGGTTGGCTTAGGAGCCGTTTACTAAATGTCTACCCGGTAAATGCTTACTAGGTAACTTTCGTTACTGGATGAACATGTAAGGACCGATAATCATATCCGATAAAGAAGAAGAAAAACAAATGGTTTAAGGATAGGCTACTTGAAGAAGTTTGACCCACACTGCTTGCTACACCCGTGGAGCCTGCCATGAGCCAAAGCTCAAAAGCATTGCACTCACTATGTTATGTAAAAAATTCAAGGCTGGTTGTGATAATGAATATTATTTGTTAGAAACTAGTTTTATGCAATGGTAATTGTAATACCCTAAAAATTTATAATTCGTAAAATAAATAAATGTTAAGGATTAAAATTTAAATAGTAACGACATACGGAGTAAAGTGTCGATACTCGAAAAATATGATTTTATTGCAATAAATAAAATCAATAAAAAGAAAATGAAGCATTTTGTATTTAATTGATTTGGGATGAAAATGCAGAAAGAAAAACAAAAATGACTAGTTCTGCCAAAAGTAGAAAACTAATTTGGAAATGATTGAAATTTGGGAAATCATTCCCCAAATTCACGCTTTTCCTATTCTATAGACCGTTTGATGATCTATAAATTGGAGTGTTCAGCTGAAATTTTGTGGAGACGTTCCTAAGGGTATAAGGAAGTAAACGTCTTTGGAATTTCGAGATTTCATCAAGAAACGAGAGAGATAGCGAGTTTGAAGCGGCATAGGGTCATTCCGCACAAAAACGGCTATTGGAGGTAAAATACTCAACCAAAATTGATGTATAATATATGGTTGGTTTCATTTTTCAATTATCTTTCTGTTGGTACAAGTCTCGTGGGCTATGGTGGCTTGTACGTCGAGCGGTTTAGGCTAGAAACTGTTGTGGCGGCGGCTCGACGAGATTTGGGTACAAGAACTCAAAATACGAGTTTAATATTGAACCGTAGGGGCTGTAAATTTGGATACAAGTTGGGACTATTATTATATATAAGATTTTGTAAAAAGTTTGGTGAAAAACGATCGGAAAAATATTTCAACCGAAGATCGTTCACGATAGCCGCACCAAGGGTGTGACCGGGTTGGGCCGGGCGTCGAGTTGAGCCGGCCGACGCTAGACCAGGTTTAAGCCATGGCCGACTTGTTTCAGTCGAGTTCGGTTAGACTCAAGTTGTTTTGATAAAATCGGTATTTGTTAAAAGGAGACTTGAGACTCATTTATTTACTTGGATTAATCGAAATAAATCGGGATGTTTTGATTAAGTTGGTCAAGATTTGGACATCAATTGTAAAGGTTATTAATTAATTGGATTTTCATATTTAAATTATAAGAAGTAATTTATTAACTTAATTCGGGAGTTGTGACTAGATAATTGTGGGATCGGACGTTTTTATAACAAAAATTGTATATAATTAAATGTTGGGTTTAATATGTCGTAATTTATTTTGGATGTGAAAAGAATTTCATTGGGGAGGGGGGTATATGGCGACGAGGTATGCTTGGGGTTCACCCATTGACCATTCCTACCCCAAAGTTGACCTATTTGACTTTCGGGTTGATTTTTGTGGGAAATGTCAATACTCTAATTATTGAAATATAATTACATGTTATAGGATATTACTCAGGGACGAGGTTTAGCCAAACTGAGCTATTCAAGTGAGTCTTCATGAGATTTTAACTGTGATGCATGCTTATGTACAAATTATTTGAGCATTACGATATTTTTATGTACATGTTTATGGGTTTATAACATTATGAATTATTATTGTGGGTTGCATGCTATTTGTTTACGTGTTTTAAATATTAATTAGCATGTTATAAAAGAATTAATATTTTTGTAGGGTATGGAAAGAAGTCAAAAGTCATAAGGGATGGCATATTCTAGGGATGGGTGACCGGACAAGGGATAACCATGTAACCCGGGGAAGTGCCGATGATGGTAAGACCTTAACCCGACGGGAAATTAAGAGATCTCATTATTATTTCAAAAGGGTTTAAAACAAATATGCATGTTATTCTATTTGGGGCATTGTTTATTTTATGCATGATGAAATGTGTATGATTATGTACGAAAACCATAAACTCATCAAGCTTTATAAATTACCTTTCTAACAGAATCAATGCTAGAATTTTCTTCAATGAACAAGGTCACCAATTTACAATTATTATATTGTTATTTGTGCAAAGATGGAAATAAACTATAAAACAATTCAAATGAGTAACACCATACATAAGTCATACCAGAAGAAAAAGAAAGGCAGTTAATTCAGCATTCATGGATTATTATATTAATTGTAATTATTATATTGTTATTGGTGATCGCTGCTTTCTCGCTTGAGCTTGTGGTTGTGGTTGTGGTTGTGGAGAAATACGATGATGCGAAGCGGGTTGTTGCCCATGTCGATATGGTGAATGATGTACTCTCGGTACCTTTGCCCTTTCTTTCATAGCATCAAGTTGTTCTAGCTTTTCCACTACTTCTTTCATGGACGGCCGGCTTTTCGGTTCGGGTCCAAGACACGTTAGGGCTAATAGGGCGATTTGAACTACGGCCTTTGAAGGGTATCTTCCTTCCAGCCGTGAATCCATTATATTCTTCAACTTCCTTCGGTCAGCCAAGTACGGTTTCACCCAGTCACTCAGATTTTGTTGGGCGGCTGGTCGGCCAGTATCAAGTGCCCGCATGCCGCTCAGCATTTCAACCATTACCATCCCAAAACCATACACATCGCTCTTCACGTACAAATGTCCTGTAAATTACAATGGAACAGCATTATGGTTCAACCACTTGAACCATAAACGAATCCAAGGTGGTGTGGTGTGGCTTGTTAGCTTAATGGACTCAGATTACCTGTAGAAACGTATTCAGGAGCAGCATAGCCGTAAGTTCCCATAATCCGTGTTGATACGTGTGATTGACTAGCCGAAGGACCAATTTTCGCAAGCCCAAAGTCTGATATCTTGGCATTATAAGACTGTCAAACCAACAACAGTTGAGAACCAAATCAAAAATCAAAAATCAAAAATCAAAAATCAAAAAACGAAACCATCAAATCTCTCTAAATAAAAACTTACCCCATCCAGCAAAATGTTGGATGCCTTGAAGTCTCTATAAATCACTTGTTTCTCGGAAGTGTGCAAAAACATTAGGCCCTGAGCCGCTCCGATCAAAATCTTGAGCCGTATATCCCACGGGAGTGGCTGAACGGTCGACCCTCCTGCAAAATCTATTCGTTTATACCATTTTCACGGAAATTCCTTGTGATATATAGCAACATGTGCAAGACTGACTACTTACTTCCAAATAGGTGGTTTTCCAAGCTTCCTTTCTGCATAAACTCGTATATGAGTAGCAATTCCGTACCCTCATAACAGTATCCGAATAGTTTCACTAAGTTGGGATGAGAAAGCCTTCCTAGAAAATCCACCTCTGCCTGTTCAAATTAATGAATCATCAAATTTGCAGTTCATTATGATCAAGATTGAAGCAAGAAGGTACAACAGCTACCTGCCATTCTTCCAATCCTTGCATGCTCTCAGAATTCAATTTCTTGACGGCAATTATGTTATGTTTTGAATTGGATTTATCTTCGATCCAGCCTTTATAAACCTTGCCAAAACCACCTTCACCTAAAACTGTATCGGTTCGAAAATTTCTAGTAGCAGTTTTGAGTTCGGCGAAGGTGAAAATCTTGAGATTGGGATGGGGCAAGATCTGGCCACCTGGTGCTAAGAACTGGCTGTTGCTGCTTGATCCTGATGATGTTGAGCCTGAGCCTGTGGTTGTGTTGCTGCTGCTGATGGTGGTTTGTGAAATGCCTGTGAAGTTTTTATGTAATTACAGAAATCAAACATGAGATTATATGATCAAAGAGTTCAAATAAATCCATACAAATTGGAGTACAAAATTCAAATAACAAGCGTAACTTTAGGTGTTGTTGAAGTAAGATTCTAAAATTGGCATGAAATGAAATGAAATCTGGCAATAAAATGTTTAACACAGAATATGAAGGAAGAATGAAGTTGTCAGGTGAGATTCTATATCAAATGAACAAGACTGACATGAAAAGATGATATAAATTTGGGTATTGAGTGTTGTAAGGAAAGTTGCAGCAAGTGAAGAGCATCAAACAGAAGCCATGAATATAAAGACAATATTTTTAAGTAAATAAAACTGGAGTGCAAAATTTGACACCCAAGAGCATAAATACAAAACTCAAAACCAGTTGGGTTAAGTTGTTGTTGAAGTGAGATATATACAGATGAACAAGATTTTAGAAATGTTGAAGAAATATTATCACATAAAATTAAGATTTGTACCTGAACTGAGATTGCCGATGGTGTTGGGGGTTTGATTACGGGAAGAAAAAAAAGAAGAACAGCAGGTACCCATGATTGAGAGTTGCTGTTTTTGATTAATGATTCAAATGCGCATCTTTGAGTCTTTTTATTTCTTCTTGTTGTGCACTCACTCGTCTTTGAAGAGCAAAAAAAAAAAAGCAGGTTAGTATCATTTGACTGGGATTTGCTTTCACAAAAGCTGTATGTACATTGACCTTAATTCAAGTTTGTGGAAAAATGGCAATTGATTAATGGTCTGTCTGTGTCTGTGAGTGTGGGTGAAGAAGACGACTGGGTCAATCAGCCACAAAGAACTGCAAGTTGGTCAAGGTCAAACCATTCAAACAAAATATAATAATAATAATTATTATTACTCCTACAAAACAAACTACAATATTGTATAGACGCTAGCTGTTTGAAACCATAATTCACATTTTGCAATTGCATCGGAATTTCCTATTCCTATACTAACTTAGAAATTTCGCTACCAAAATTATCCTAATTTTTTATTTAATTCTTCTTCAAATGGATTTTTAAGTCCGTAAAACCCCACTTAGATTCATTCAGGCATGCTACATTTTTTTAGTAAAACTAATTCTTTATATATAACATCATTCAAGTTCATGTGGGTGTTCAAGACGAAGCGAATCCGGATCTTGCTTAAGATTTTGTATCATGCTAATTTATAATTAGTTAAAGTTGTTGGTATTTTATAAATCATAAATTTATATAAACAAATTGGATTGATTTACTTAATTTAGATGATAAACGGCATGGAGAGAAAAACATGCATGAATTCACCACTTTTCATTTCCATTTCCATTTCCATTTCCATTATAGAGAAAGCATCCAATTGTTGTAAAATTTTCGTAAGTATATGTATGTATATACACCTATATATCAATAAGGATATCAAAGAAAATAAAATAAGATATATCGTTTTATGATTCAACTTGTTTAAATTAAAAAAATCAATTAATTATATTATATTAAAACGATTTGGTTTTTATTGTTCGTCTTTTTGGCTATGTGAATATGAAAACTTGTTTTTTCCTAAGAAATTATTTCAGTTTTAAGTCACCAAGCATGGTAATATGTATGAATCTCCCTATAGTTAAGATATGATTGGTTGATTTTGGATGAAGAACAATATCAAAATTGAAAACACTAATTTTGAGATGATAAAATTTGTTGACAATTTTCAATAATTTTTGTGTTAAAAAACATCGACAATAAGCTTCTCTATGGCAATAATAATAATAATAATTCACTCTAACTTATTATTATATTGAGATTTAAGAAAATAAGTTTTTTCAACAATTTCATGATTAATAACAAATATGGAATTTAATAAAAGTCAAAAGGCCTTTCACCATCAAACTTCAAAGTCACCACCGTACCAAGACCATTACATATTCCATGGCCATGGGCATGTCCATGTCCTCTTTTATAAACTAATTTCAAACCACCATCAAATTTAATTGACTACCGACTTGTAACAAGTAGCCTTTCATGTTTTAAACTATTTGTTCATTAAAATACGCATAAAACACCAATCATAAATTTCTTCAAATAAACTCACTTTTCCATACATCAACATCAAATTCCCCTTTTTTTCTATTCTCAAACCTCTAATTTAAGCAACAACAAAGAATATCATATCCTTTCCTCTTCAAAAATATTAACTAGTGGAAAGATTTTAAATAAGTATCGTATGCAACAATTTACCCAATAAGCATTTATTGGGTAAGGCTCTCATTCCTTGCCTGCCCTCTTACCGAATAAGATTCCTGGCAAACGCTTATCCGGGTAAGCATTTGGTAATCAGTTTCACAATTTCAAACCTATTTTTCACATTATATATATGAACATATCATGTGTATACAAGATTTTGTATTCATTTTCTGTCAAGTCCCAAAAAACAAAAGCATACATGAACAAATTTGATATCCAAGAGAGCAGGAGCATCTCAAAGAATTGCTTACAAAAAATATAACTCAAAAACAACAAAATTCTTGCCCTTTTCCGATATAATACCACCAGCCACCACCCATCTAATTCAAAGACCGGCTGCTGCTGCAAGCATAGAAAGAAAGTCAATGAAAATACTCAACGACGGCTCATAATCTTTGTCTGGAATAACTACCAAAAACAACACACAACTATCAAAATTACCTCCATGAATAACAAAATCTGTCTTAACCCTTCCCAAAACGATCACCAAATCCACTTCTACGGCCTCCCACACCACTTGATCGATCTGAACCAAATTTAAACCCGCTTGAGCTTGACTTGCTAAACCCACTTGATCGCTCGCCAAAATCACTACCACGATCAGAGCTAGATCCTCTATATCCACCACCTGATCCACCATAACTGGATCCACCATAACCAGAATCTCGAGATGATCTGCCACTACTTGAACCAAAACGACCACCACCATACCCACTGGATCCTCCAAATCCTGATTTACCAAATCTACCACCCGAAGAGCTAGAGCCACTACCCAGTTCAATTCTTGAACTAGCATCAACAGCAATTCGAGGGAGCTAGTAATACATCACACTTAATCAATAAAACTCAAAATCAAACATCAAATACATAAACAATGATTCTGGGATTCAACAAGACTTCTGAAACATAATTTATTTGGACTGTTTCTGAAAATCTAAAACACACCAAAGAGACTTGATGTGAAAAAAGATAGGCCGTCTTGTATTTATGTCTTGGTAACTTCGACCCCATTCATCAAAACATTGGAAATTTCATACAGTTTAGCAAGGGTCAGTCCATTGATTTTGTTATGTTGACATATGGAGCACTGATTAGTTTTCAAAAGAAGGGTCTTGACTCGAAAAGCTGTATAAAATCCTACACGCTCTTTTATATTCATGCCATGCTCATTCAAAATAAAGGATTTCGAAAAAAGAGTAGAGAATGAAATAACTAATCACTTTAAGAAAAAGTTAAGTGGATAAACCAGTTAAGAAGAAAATGATTTGGCAGCTACCTCTAAAAATTTGCATCCAACGTCCCGTGCGTATCCCTTCACATCTCGCAACTGATGAGACGAATGGATTAAAATTGCTTTTCCTTTCTTTCCAGCACGACCTGTTCTTCCAGAGCGGTGAACAAAAATTTCTGAGTCGTTTGGTAGCTCATAATGTATCACCTAATCATTAAAGACAAGATTTAAATTGGTAAATGAACATTATAAGAACAACAAAATGAGCCAATAGAGATTTCGCACAACAATGTAATTAGATATCACCAGTATATTGTTTCAAAGCACAATGTTCGTACCAATATCCAACAGTCAAAAACAGAAGATTAAATCAGGCAGCTTCATCAAAACTCACAACACACAAAGTGGTTTTTCTCCAATGCAATACTTATTACTGGGCTTCACAGATCTAGAGTAATCTTAATAAAGCAGAAATACGCACCAGATCAACATTGGGTACATCAAGACCACGAGCAGCTACATCAGTGGCTACTAAAACATTGAAGCGGCCATCTCTAAAGCCTGAGAGTGTTCTCTCCCTCTGATTTTGAGTGATATCCCCATGCAGAGCTTCACAAGTGAAGTGCTTTTGCATGGCATATGACAATCGATCTGCATCACGCTTTGTTTGGGTGAAAACGATACACTTACCACCATTTGCATGCTCCTGAAAGTAAAACAAATACAAGGTTAGCAGGAGAAAATACAGTTGTCAATATTGCTTGCCAAAACCAGAGAGCACGATAGATCCATACTGCTATCAATGGTCCAATAACCGAGGGTTTATCACGCGTTTCAGCTTCGAGCGAATATAGGGTGATTCCATCAGCCAGTTTCTGATCAGAATCACCAACCTGCGATTAAGAAGTAGCTTCAGTTAATAACTCATCACAGATTCATGTAGCTAAATAAGAAAAAGTTAAATGTCAGAATGAATAGAAAATGGTCCAGACCCACTCACAAGATCAATAGTTAATGGATTCTTTAGATGCTTGCGAACAAGCTTTACAATCCAACTTGGCATAGTTGCTGAAAACATCATACTTTGACGCTCTCGTGGCAGATGTTCAAAAATTGTTTCAACATCGTCTGCAAAACCCACATTGAGCATCTGATCAGCTTCATCTAAAACAGCAAACTTGACTTCCGATAGCTTCAAAGAACCCCTCTTAATCAGATCAATCACCCGTCCGGGGGTGCCTACAATCACATCAACACCATGATCAAGCGTGCTCATCTGACGCTGGATGGGTACACCCCCATAAACGCAGAGTGTATACAGATTTGGTGCAGCCTCATAGAATTCTTTTTCTACTTGGCGAGCAAGTTCTCTGGTAGGAGCCAGGACAATGGCTAGCGGGTTTCTCCCCTTTCTGCCATTTAATGAGAATGCAGATAAATGGATGGAATTCTCTTAATAACAAATATGCAAATAAGTTGAAACACATTCCACAATAAATCCAACTGGAGTGTACAATCGAGAAGCAAAAACAAAGGGAACAGCCAAAGAGTAAGAAACTAACTGCATACCCATTCTTTTCATTGTATCGAATAATGTTATCCATGATAGGAATACCAAAAGCAAGTGTTTTCCCTGTCCCCGTCCTAGCACGACCAATCATATCGCGCCCCTGCATTGCTGGCTCCAGCACAGCTCTCTGAATATTATAAAGAAGAACATGATTACAAAGGTTAACCACTGTTTACTTGTGCTTCCTATGATATAATTTTCTTCCCTCCCAAAAAAGAGCAACATTTCACTGTACAAATGATTCAAAGCCAGAAGAATTCTATCTCTTATACATGTTTAAAGGCTCAACGTAGTTGGCGACAATTGCCTAAAAACATCAATATTGTAAAGTAAAAGAGAAATAAAATTCATACATGTACTGATGTTAGTACATAGAGACATATAAGATTCAAATTTTAGTAGAGAAATAAAGGCAAAATATCAAGTTACCTGAATTGGAAAGAGGTTGGTTATACCCTTCTTGGCTAGAGCAGTAACAATGTGTTGAGAAATCCCAAGTTTAGATACGTCAAGGCCATCTGAAGACGAAGAAGAGTCTTCGTCGTATGCAACAGCAAATCCGGCAGACTGTTTGAAGAGAGTGGAAGAGCTAACAGCCACCCATCGGGAAGCGTGGACATTCCTCCTCAAAACCCTAAAGGAAAGAGCGATGTGAAATTGAGATTTGTTGGAAGAAAGAGTGACAGTAGGTGGTGAAGATGAAGGAATAAGGAGCCTGAGGGAGTTGCAGGCGGTGATGGAAGCAAGAGCAGTGAGCCTGGTGGAAGAAGTTCTGAAGATAAGAGAATTCATTATAGAGCAGCAAGGGAAGAGGGAAGGAACGTTAAACCCTAAAAAGTAAGGGTTTACGATGCACATCAAACACTTGTTGTCTTATATATACCACTGCTTCCTTTTCCTTTTCCTTTTCCTTTTCCTTTTCCTTTTCCTTTTCCTTTTGCTACATCAAAAAATTTAAAAGAAAAAAAGAAAGATTTATATTATTTCTTTTTAAAGCTTTAAATCCAAATATATCTTTTTTTATTTATTTGTAAACATTAAGTATGTATGTGTATGACAGTCTAATAAAAATCAATCATCAGATTATACGATCTCAATATCAAAGATAGAAACTCAACGAGAATGACATAAATCATGTTTCGTCTTTAATTTAGATATTTAGGGGATATTTGATTCGTAGTATTCTGACAGTATTCAAATGAACTACAATCATCAATTTCATTAACCAAATTTTATTCAGGTGTTTGGTTTACCTATAAAATGGATTCCATCATAGTTGATAAGGAATTCAATTATATTTTTCAAAAAGACAAAATTATTCACATCTTCCCTGCTTGATATGAACCACCATCGATCTGGACCCCCCATCGTTCTGAACCTCTGTTTTGAACCACTGTCGACCATCACCGTTCTAAACAACCATCGACCATTAATAACTCTCAATTTGTGAGAGTTATTTGTTGTTCAATACCCCTATTTTATTGTGTCTTTGGTACTCATTTTGCTCTTATCCTGTATTTTTTGTCCAAAATATGTTAAGAGGTGATGAAAGATCAAGAATTGAATTATTTTCTCATTGCTATTGGTAATTTGCCCACTTTCTGCTTACATTTTTCCTATGGCGTATTTTCCTCAAAACGGATTTGAACAAAATTCAAATATTGGCTCTCTTGGGTATTAATGGGATTTAATTCTGAAATCAGATCCGAAAATCTTGGGTTACTTGGAAAAATGGGTCTGGTTGAATTATAAAATGTCAATAAAGTAGCTCTATCATTATTTTAATGAAAAAGTCTTCGTTACCTTTTCATTATTTTAATGGTTAGGTAACTTTACCTTTCTCAACCTTTCAAGAAAAAGTGACTAGACCTGAAAAAGTATACAAGAAGTGATGGGGGGTCTTTACATTTTAGTCGATGAAAACTTTCTTCCTTTGGGCGAAGAGTTTGTCCGGTTCTCACTTTTTCACTATATATTGAAGTTTTTCTCTCATTGGGAAGACATTCACTCCATCAACAATTCAGCTAAGCAACCTTGGAGCATTCTTTCAAGTTCTACACCAGTAAAACAAGTTTAATTTCTGCTTTTAATTTTATTTTGTACTTAGTCTTTAATTATCGCCACTATGTATTGTATGCCCCTGTGGGCAACAGTTTAAGTGTTATTTTCAGTTCAAGTATTTATTATGCATTTTTCTTCTTCTGTTTTCTCCATGTCTTCTAATTTTATTATGAGCTAAACACCCCATTGGGTGTGGGTGTGAGTCAAATTTAAGAATTTGAAGGCGCACTTGGGTGTTGTCAATTTTATTGATTCTTAAGCTTGGTCATTTAAGTCGGGACTTAAGCTCAACGCAGATAAGCTGATCACTTTGAAGTGTTAATATTAGATCCTTGATCCAGAGATGGGCGGATCTGAAATATAGCTTAGATGATGCACAAAGATTTGAGAGAGTCTTTGATAATCACGCAGAGATGCGGGTTCTGCATGTTTTTAGCTAATGTTCAAATATTAGTCGAGTTTATACGACAATGAGTTGTGAGTATAAATCTTCAGGCTAGTGGAACCAGATATCTTTTTATCTATTAGCTAATTCGGCAAGTTTAAAGATTGATAAAACTGGACGCTTTGTGGGCATTATGTGGGCACAATATATAAGAATTCACTTTCGAGATATCGGAGTTCTTATAGAAATCTCATGAGTTTCTGACCAAACTGTTCCAACAATATTCTTAAGGGAAGATTACACCCGTACCCATCTTTTAATATTAAAGGTTTATTTCATATTTCTAAGCTTTGCACAAACAAAACTCAAATATTTTCTCAAACCGAAACATGTGTCAAGAAGTTCATGAAAATCTCAGATTCTCTGTAAGTCTAGTCCCTGTGGAAATGATTTTGGTACTATACCACTTTATTACTTGAAGCGATCAGAGTGTCGGCGTGCACTTGCACCGCCACTTTGGGGATTTTGTGCCCACTGTGTGCACACTTACGATTCGAGCGCATCAACCACCATTGTTTTAAACCACCATGGAACATCATCGATCTAAAGCACGATAGTTGGATTTTGGTTTCAAAATTCTCAGAAAAATAGTATTTTGGTCATTTATCAATATTTTGCTCTAATTCCAAAGCTATATTGGTGAAAAATTTTGGTAGTGTATGAAATTCATTGCACAACAAGAAAAACAATTTTTTTGTCCCTCTGTTTAAATTAGCGCATTAAGCTTATTGTTTTATGAACTTGGGATAGTTTTAAATCAGGTGAATAAGTGTAGCAACATCTTATAAAAACACCATCCAAAATTGGTATAATTAGTAATTGGTCATCCTATATATGTTCTAGTAAAATAGAGATAGAAACATTTTTAAACGGTGACACCATTTGATTATAAAAGAAATGTATAGATACATAAAATCATCGTTGTTTTATTGGTTAATTCATTTGTTTTTCATATGTGAGGTCATATGTTTAGGACTTTTATTACAAATTTTTTCAAAAACATAAATAAATCGGAAATTAAAAGTTAAAAAAATTAAGAAAATGACAGTTGGTAAAAGAAAAACTTCCAAACCAACTCTACCAAGGAAATTTATGTCCTTATCGTAGTTTCAAAATATATTCGGCGACACTTTTCACGACCCTATAATTTTTGCCACTACGACAGTGGAACAAAACAGTGACCCGTACCACTATATCCAATACACCCCTTTCTATAGTAAAGTAATTAACGAGATTTAAAGTATTGTAATTAGTAAATACACATTATATAAAAAATAGTTACAAGTTATTATGAGCCTATAGTATAGAAGAACATTAATATTATCTAACTCATTAATTATTTGTATGAAGGGCGTTACAACATCTATATTCTCCACACAAAAAAAATCCAAAATGGAGAATAAAATTTTATATCTCTAAAATAAAAATACATTTAAGTTTAATAGATTTTTGATTTTAGAGATTATAATATTGATTATATTTTGTAATTTCATCTAATAAAATATTAGTTTTTGTTCCTCGACTCAAACCAAGGAATCCCTTAGATATGATGCAAAATGGATCTTGTTCTATCCTTAGAGTTCTCTATGGAAAAAACAAAATCGGAGTTTGACTAGGGGGAAGGAGAAGGAGCTCTCGACCCGCAACACATAAAAGATGATTTATTCAATCACATAATTTAGACTTCTAGAATATGGTGTCCTTGGGGCTTTCTATTTGATTGTATCGAAAGACCTCAATTTTATTTTCAAAGTTTACTATTGGTAGAGATATATTAAATAATATTTCTTTCTTATTATAATCATTATCGATAGGGGTGTAAAAAACCGTCAACCCGCCAATTAGGAGAGGTTGAAATTGGGTTGAGCCTAGTTATTAATTTATAAAGTTTATATAATTTTTATTGATATTATATTTTGTTTCATTTTAGCTAAACGTATAGGTTACCAAAAGAGATTCACGATCAAATAATGATGACAAATAATCTAATTAATAAGGAAAATTATTGATTTATTTGCAGCAACAACAAATTGATATGTTGGAGAATATGAATGATATTGATAGATATTTGATGGACGAATCCATCAATCTATGACCTTTTTAAAGAGTTACATTAGAAAAATGTCTTATCTAAAAGAGTTACAATATGTTTATAGGATGATTTTGGATGTCTTAACAAATTCTATGATGTTTTTAAAAATAAAGTGTCATATTAGTTATTTTATACAACACGACTTGAAAAAAAAATCATATGAATATAGGTGTCCTATAAATAGATGAGTTTACGAGACACTTCTCAAAACGTTTCTATAAAATAACTAATACGATAATTTATTTAAAGATCATTCTAAAACACTTGTTGAAACGTTCAAAAATGTCCTATAAACTTATTGTAACTTTTTTAGATTATGACCCATAAACTTAAGTTTTACGAATTATTTCATTCGTCAAATTATGTAACTACTAACCCGCCAATGCAACCAGCAAGGGTTGGGTTAGGTTATACTTTTGAATGAGTTGGATTGGGTTGAGATTTTTCCAAACTGCGATAATTGGATGGGTTGTAAAATTGTTGTAAACCGCTCAACCCATCCTGCGTATACCCTAATTATCTAGGTGTTCTCCAAATTTAGAGATTTTAACACATACACTCAGGGCCGTTCGATTTGTTTTTTGTTAAGACTTGTATGGATATAGTTGTCTGTATGTTAATAAATAAGTTTTTTTTCGGTGGTTGTGCTAAATACCTGGTTAAATGTGAGAGGTTACCATTTTACCCCTTCTAATATTTTTGTCCGGAGAACATACAAATGGAAACAGACTCTGATGTTTTCAATTTTAACCATCTTATTCAACAACTTCAAAAAAACTAGTTTTAGGTGAACCCAAAGCAAATCATCCACAAGATCACACAAGTCTGCAACTCAAGTTTTAGGTATAATTTTCATTACATAGAACTTTTCCAGGGCCACACAGGTTTGCAACTCAAGTTTTAGGTGAACCTTAAAGCAAAAAACACATGATACTATTACTCGTTGATATCAAGCTTATCAATAGCTTGCTTCCTGAAGAAATTAAATACCAACCAAAAAACGCAAGTCGGCCTGAAGAAATAACAACGAAAACCGCAAGGTAGATCTGTAAAAGCAAGGCAAAAATCGAAAACACAAGGCACGAATCAGAATATCTGCGATGGATGGAGAGCATCAGCATATATAGGATGGCCGTCGTCAATAGGACCGGAGATTGCAGGATGAAAGGGTTGTCGGCTGGAGACCGAAGAAGCATGAGAAATGAGATTGATGGAGGAAGAAGCAATGATCACTGATGGAGAATAGAGAGTGCAGATCCATGAAGATAGAGGCTTGGATAAGGAGAGCAAACATGAAGAGAAATTTATACCTGATACAATCAAAACCATATATAATTTATAACACATTTAACTTAAATTTATTTCAATGACTTGTTAAGAAAAGACAATAGCTCATCCATGCACTTGTCTTGGATCTCTCTACCCCCAAATATCGTCATCATTTCTCTAGCCTTGTCTCTATATATTTTCCCCTCTTCTTTCCCCATAACAAGACTCAGTGAGTCAGCCACCGATTCTGGACTAAATGACCCATCCAACTCGTCCCTAGGAATCATATACGCCATCTTTTTCTCCACCAAATAGCTTGCAATTAAGCCTTGGTCAAATAAGAATGGCAACAGTACAAGTGGTTTACCCAGTTGAAGCCCCTCCACCACTGAACTCATACCTGAGTGAATCAACAACACCCCTACCGAGTCATGACTCAGAATTTTGAACTGAGGTGCCCACCTCGTGCACACCACCCCACGTCCACGTGTCCGCTCCTCATACCCACGTGGCAATTCAATAGCCACGTCATCTGATGGCCCACGTTGATCGATTAACACCCAGTAAAATGGTAAACCACACAATTCTAATCCTAAAGCTATCTGAGTTAACTCATACTGATTCGGTTTGGTTTCGGTTCCAAAAGCAATATAAACAACCGATCCTTTCTCATGCTTCTCCAGCCACTCTCTCGTTTCCGGCCAACTTGTATTCTCCTCGGCACCTGCTGCCGGTAAAAGCCCTGCCGGAATGACGGGCTTTTGATAAAGATGGTTCAGGAGTTTCAACCAGTCCGCCTCGAAATCAAAACTACTTCTGACGACCACCGCGTCGCAGCCGTGTATGGTGGCTCCAAGCCGGTACGCATCAGAAACGTTTTCAGCCTCATCATCATTGAAGTTTTCATTGGATCTCGTAAACTGAAAAAGGCTCGGTCGAACATGGGATTCGAATGAAACCCACTTTGGTAGGTTGCTAAACTCTTGTGGTTCATGGTAATAATCGCCGTTAATCAACAACTCGGGGGAACCCAGGTAACCAAGAACAACAGCCGGAAAAACACTGAAATAAGCGGTGAGGACGCCGTGTTCAGCCGCTATTGGCCCCAACCAGTAGGTAGTGAAATCATAAATGATCCAATCTGGAGATGAGGTTTTGAGAAAGTTTGTGACGGGTAGTCGGAGACCGTCGGAGGCCATTTTGAGGTACTTCACCTTTTCTTGGGGTAAATCTTTGGTGGATTCGGCGTTTGGAGGGAGATTGTCAACGTTTGGAAGATGGATTTGGAGGAAAGTGATGAAAGGTGATAGGGTTTGTGGGATTTGAGGTAGTCGGTGGATGTTTCGAGGTGTTGAAATGAAGGTAATCTTATGGCCTTTGGTGGCCATAAGCTTTGCTAGTTGAAGGAATGGAATAAGGTGGCCAAAGGCTAGCCATGGAAGCATTGCTATGTGAAGCTGGTCGTCGTTGGCCATGGCTATTTACGAGTTTGGTTAATTGTTGGTGAACTTGTTTGTGTTGGCCTGCATGCAACCGATATATATATATATATATATATATAACTTGTAAAAATGTAATTAAATTAACACGTAAATCACGTTCGGGCACAAAATTTCGGTAACCTCGAATCTAACAACTATGCATGGATACCACACTAAATAATATCAATGTTACTATTTCTGTCTTCAATAAGAACTACATATAATTGACACCAAGGATGATGTATATAAAATAATAAAACTATAACAATCTTTTTTTGTCATATATATATATATATATATATATATATATTATGAAAGTGATCTCCATCTTTGACTAATGTGTAATAGATCAATCAAGATTTACGGGATCAATCTCATAATATCTTTGACTAATGTTGCATATCAAGATATAATAGATCAATCAAGATTCACGGGATCAATCTCATAATAATAAACGTAATTTAAGAGGTATGAGATTAATAATAAACGTAATTTAAGGGGTATGAGATTAGAAGTGATCAAAGATTCAAATATTTATTTACATTTTTTGTCTTTAACTCCTATATATCTGACACGATTTATTCTTATGTTTTTCAGTTTAACTTTTATTTTTACATGATTCTATATATATATATTTATATTTATATAAAAAGAAAAATTATACGAAAATGTATGATCATATTTTTTTATGTATTTAACCTGGTTAAATGTGTAGGTTATTATCAATATAATGTGTGTGTGTATATATATATATTAAAAAGTGAAATCTAAAAAGTGAGTGGAATTTTGTAGAGCTCCGTTGGCTTGATTGGTATATAAACTTGATGATTTGATGCCACGTCTGGTTTGAAGAAGCCACGTATCATTCTTTGAAATTACAAAACAGGTCCTTGGAGTTATAAATAAGTAACTTTAATTAATAATAATCAAATGGATTGATAATTGGTATGTATAATATTTAATTTGGTTAGTTTGGTTGTATGTATAAACAATAAACAATAAACCATATATAATTGTATATTATAATGAATGGAACTTATTATTACTTCTCATTAAGTAAAATTAAAATCTTACCAAGAGTCTGAGACTACAATTGTTTTTGCTTTTAAGCTATTCCTATTTCCTACTGCTTTGATCTTATTTCTTTTAATTTCAATATATAATTCCAACTTCCATAATATCTTTCTGTCTTATTAATTATAGCTATAGCCTATAGCCTATGCCCTATAGCCTATGCCCTATAGTTTGATGAGTTGCTAATTATTAATTAGATAAACATTAATTAATTAATTAATTAGCTAAATATGTTTCCCTTAATTAATTAAAATGCATAGATTTGGCACTATATATATATATATATATATATATATCATGTGGCTCTTGTTACTTGAATTGTTCATACAATTTTACAAATTTCATTTTGTTTACTTATATAATTAACTACTATATACATCTTTTAATTTATACAATAAAATATGACTAATTTAAATTCTTAAAATATCCCTCCCTAACTACACTTGTCGTCTTAATTTGTTACATAATTTTTGTTTCTCTCTAAACTCCCTAATTTCACAAGTCACGATTCTTGCATCTCATCATGAATGGTGCATAAACTCATAATTCCTCAGTAACATGTGGCGTGAAGTTACAACTCTATCTCTGTCTGATATCAAATGATGCAAATCCATATCCATAGACACGATGCCTAGCAAATTCGTCACTCAAAGCTCCTATTGCAAAATGTTGGTCTTCTTTTTTAGGAAGGATGTCCCAAACAATATATGAACAAATTGTGACTCTGCAAGAAACCAATGCTAATAAACTCATTGACCATAATTAGAGGTGTTTATCGAATCTCAATTCTAGCCACAATTAAGAGTGTTCATCGGTTGAAATCTAATGGGTTTAGGTGGATTTGCTCAAATCATCCATTAAATGTTGGATTTGTTATCTGATCCAATCCAACTAACATTGGACACTTGATCCATCCGATGCAACGGATGATTGGATTGGTTCGTCCATTTGAATACTACAATTGGTTATCGAATTGGATTCGTCTTATATTTTGATCAAATTTTTAACCAATCAATCATATGTTTTCTTAAGTTACTGAAAAAAAAACATATAAATATAAATTAAAAGACAAAATCATAAAATGTAATTAATTGTATATAGTAATTAGATGTGGAATTAAATGGTGAACTGCATGGTTTTATTCCAAGAACCGATCGATCAAATTTGGATGTTAAAATTTTAGATCCGATCGATCAATTCTAATTGGATCGAATAATTTTTTAGACACCCTTAACCACAATTCCTAGACACATGGAATATTTCACCACCCTGGACCTCAAAACCACTGCCACAACCCCCAATGGATGGTGGTAGCATTTTCAAGTCAAAACAGTTCGTAGTCATGTTACTTCCAAAAGGAGGACAAAATTGAGTTGTCTGAAAATGACATTGTTATACAAAGTTTTAGATAAACATAAAAGCAAGATTGTTATTTAGTGTCAAATAAATTATTAAGTACTGCATAGTAGTTGTTGATATGCATATATATATATATATATATATATATATAT